GGCACCCCGGCATCCCCCGCCCCCCGGCAGTCTGCAGCGCTCGGCCCTCGGGTTTGGCCGGCTTCCCCCGCGCAGGGGACGATGGACGCCGAAGAAGCAGGAGACGTGGCCGCAGCCCCCGCGCCGCCGCCTAGCCAGCCGCCGGTACCTCTTATGGAAGGCGGCGCGGACGCGAGAAACGGTACCGCCAATCAAGGCGCCCGTGCCCCGCACCCGCCTCCTCAGCCCCGCCCATCACGGCGTTGCCCACGCCCTTCAGGTCCCTGGTCCAGCCCGGCCTTGCTAGGGCGTCCGGTCGCCACCCTCCTCCCCCCACATTTCGGGTGGAAAGGAGACTGCATCTTCTCCGGTTCGGCCCCGAGTCATAAGGTCTGGTAGCCGGTGCTTAGAAATCATGGACTCCAATCTGCACCTGGGGGAGGGTTTTGCCCATGTGACAGTGAGTCTGGACTAGAACTCAGGAAGCTTAACTCTTCGAGCAGTGCTCCTTCCCATACCGCACCCCTTGGTCCAATCGGTTCTGCCTGGTCTCCTGGGCCACAAGGCCACCAGGACCCCCTCCTCCAATCTCCCTGGGGCGGTGGAGAGATTAACACAGAGGGGCAACTGGCGTCCTGGTGGGAATCTGATCAGGTTTGTTCCCCACCAGGCAGACCATTCGTGTGCAGAACAAGCTACAGCACTGCCGCTGAGTCCGGCCTGGCTTTCGCAAACCTTGATGGACCCCCAGGGGAGCCCCAGACCCCACCGTGTGCAAAATTTTTTCCATGCCCCTGCTCTTGTTTGCTCCTCCCAGTAGATGTCCCCACGCCTTTACACAGAGGGGAAACAGACCCAGAAGGTGCAGTGGTGCCTTCCCCAAGGTCACAGTACAGGTTAGTTGCTGAATCTGGACCACTGGCTGGGAGCTGCTCAGCCATTTACACCCTCTGGGGGCTCATATACCTGGGTTTCCTCACTGTCATTGGGGAAGACCTTAGCTGGGTCCCTCTCATCCTGGCAAAATGATAAAATGGAGCCCTGCCCATGTTCCGCACAACAGAAATGCCCCTGCCATACCCCCTCCAAACACTGGCACAGACAGACACCAGGGCACTGCCTCAGTTTCCATCCCTTTAAAGGTGCCATCAGAGATGGGAGGTTCCAGTGATGGGCAGGGCAGGGCAGAGGCTGGAGGGCCAGAAACCAGTTCAAATGGACTGGGAACTGCAGCTAACCCTGGTCTCAGGGGATCTGCCAAAAGTGTGGCCAGTGTGATTACTGCACCAGCCTGAAGAGGAGGCAGATGGGGGAGCTGCACTGGCTGCATGCAGAGGACAACAATGGAGCAGCACCCCCATGTTCTCTAAGTGCTTTCAGGTGCCTTAGATTGAGTGATTGGGATTCGTGGGCGAGACAGCTGGGCTCCTGAGAGGCAGTTCAGAAGGGGCTCAGAGAGGAGGGAAAGATCCATTGGGCCAGGCTCAGTGAAGACGAAGGGAGGTAGACTCAGGAGGAGGGAATGAGGGGGAGGGTATTCAATAACCGGGAGTGGTGGAGGCTCAGTGGAGGGCAAGGGGAGGGGGTCAGTGACTGTGATGGGCTTAGGGAGGAGGGAAGAGTTTAGTGGGTGCATTGGTTCCAGAGGAGGCTCACAGAGGGAGAAGGGAAGTTCAGTGAAAAAGATAGGGCCTCAGGGAGTCAGAGGGGCTCAATGGGGATGATGGAGGCCCAGGAGTTACCAAGTTCCCCCCAGAAAGAAGGAATATCCTGTTTAATGGTGTCTGTCATCCCTTTGAATGGTCTCTTTTGTGTCATCAAACTTCTGTGTCTTTCTCTGTGCAGATGACCCCCTCCCACACACACATCATCATCATCATCATCATCATCATCATCACCACTGTGGAGAGACTGATAGGTGTTTTGCCTGAAGCAGGCAGATCACTGCTCCCAACTTCTGGGAGATGGACAAGGGGAACAAGACTAGGACTTAGCCCCACCATCAGGCAGATCCAGAGAACCAGCCAGATCTGAGTTCAAATCCCACACAGGGCCCATGTGGGTGACCATGGGAAAGCCCTTTCTCTAAGTAGGAGGAGATACTCAACCTATTTTTACTGAATGGATGAATGTTCTCGACCTCCTCACAAAGTACGTAAAAAAGGAGCATCAGCAGCCTTTTCTTCCTAATGAGAAACCAAAGCCCAGAGAAGTAAAGAGACTTGCTCAAGGTCACACAGCAGATAACTGGTGAAGCAAGAATTCAGACACAGTTCTGACCCAACACAAAGTCACAGCCTACCTCCCTGTTATTCTCTGACATGCCCCCTCTTCCTATCCTCTATGGCATTTCCCACAAGTTACAGATACATGTATGTATTCGTTTATTATGTAGTTATTTAATAGTCTCTCACCCTAGACTGTTTTTGCTTATCATTAGACCCCCTTGCAGTTAAGTAGGATATCTAGAGCTGTTGAGAATAGGGAAGTCCCCTTTTTCATTCATTCATTCATTCATTCATTCATTCATTCATTCATTCATTCATTTGACAAATTTGGTCATTATCTTCTCTGCTGGGCTGGCTGCTAGAGTTTACAGCAACAATCAGATGGGGCCCTGCCCTCAGGGAGCACACAGTCTGGGGGGACATAGACATGTGGTGCCAGTTCAGTGAGGCATCTACTGGGATGTGGAAACACAGAGGTTCTGGGAACATAGAACAGACACTAAACCCAGTTGAGTGGGGAGGGAATCAGGGAAAGTTCCCTGCAGATGATATTTAAACTGAGACCCGAAGGATCAAAGTGACAAAGCAAGTGATACAAAAATGGTGGGGGGGGGGGGGAAAAGGAGAAGGATTCATGATGGGAACACTGTGCACAGGACCAGAGGTGAGCGCTTTGGCATCTGCCAGCTTCCTCCCTGGCTTCCTTAATTGCCCTGGGCTCTGTACTCCTGCAAGTGGACAGCCAACCACATCTCAGTGCATAACCAGCCTGGCAGACACAACATTTGAAATTAGGAAGTACATTTTTCTACTGTAATAATCACTGTTTTTTCTGATCTTTATAAAAGTTATGGATTCCACCCTAGCCAGTTTGGCTCAGTGGGTAGAGCACTGGCCTGCAGACTTAAGGGTCTCGGGTTTGATTCCAGTCAAGGGCATGTACCTTGGTTGCAGGCTCAATCCCTGGACCTGGTCAGTCAGGGTGCGTGTGGGAGGCAACCAATCGATGTGTCTCTCTCACATCAATGTTTCTCTCTCTCTCTCTCTCCTTCCCTCCTTTCCATTCTCTCCGAAAAGCAATGGGGA